TGCAGGTTTCAAAGTACAGTAACGTTACGTCCAGCCACATAGTGCTTGCTATATATTAACAGGAATCTCACACATCAGCGTTTGATGGCATTATTAATAACGTAAACAATCAATTTAAGACGCATCTGAGGAAGGCGGCTGGGGAGAACTTCCAAAGCTCCCCGCTCATTCAACATTTTCGACCTCTGAAACTTGGAGATTGTAGCTGAATTAATGGGGAACAACCTCATATCAATTATATTGGGTTTCGATGTATTTCCAATGACTAAATCAACAAAAACCAAGCAAGTTTGATCTCATTTTAACAATCAATTTAGGACGCATATTTATATCTTGAATAATGTATACCACTTTGCATATAAATTGTGTGGTTAGGTTATTTCGCCTCGTTTCATTGGCTCAAGGAAATTTCACGTCTTTTCATTGGCTCATGTACATTTTGTCTTAAATTGATTGAAGCTCTTAAATTGATTGTTTACGTTAGGGTGATTTTGCAAATGACAATACTGGTAGTATTATTATCAGATCAGTACTGTACAATCGTTTGGATGCATCAATTGTTCGAGTCAAAATAAGCGTTCTTCAAACGGTGTTTGGTTATTTCAAAAACAAACAGTTTCCTTGTCGACAGGTTGTCGTCATACAGTAGGCCACACAATACCAGTAACGTTACCTTCACAAACTAAGCTTAATGAGCAACACTGGGACGTCAGGGTTTGGTCAATTTTGATTGTGTACACGTCATGAAGTAAGCATGATGAAGCTGTGCTATTAATATTAGTTATTGATATCGTCCTTACTTTTGCCCACCGTCGCAGCTGGAGTGGTTTTGTGGTCAAATTGTATATCCTCGACGGTTGTATGGCATACATCGTTCAAGTGACGACCGCCATATACACGTTTTTTTGGATGCATTTAGTCCACTGTTTTACAATATATTGCCTGAATCACCCGAGGATTCCCTCATATAAGTACCTCGTGCAACTTGACCAGCAAACGACGACAATGAACATCGCGTGTCGTCATGGAGTTGCGGCATGTCTTATACAACCCATTCCTCATTTTGCACCACCACGTGATGAAGGGAGTTGATGCCTGCGTGCTCGCGCTGGTCCTTTGCCTCGGGCTTGCGAAAGGTGACACCTCAATCAACAAAATCCGAGCTGTCCAAGATGCATCGGCGTCCATGTTCCGAACTGAACATGATCGTTTCTTGAAGACCAAGAACGCCACAGTCGTCACGAACGCACTCACCACGGTGGCCCCGGTCGTAACCACCAGGTCAATCAAGGAAGTGTCACCTGTGACCACCAAGGCTACCATCAAAGCCACGACCTACCCCGCCACCAACAAGCCCACCAAAAAGCCAGCAAAGAAAAGTGGCAAGCAGGGTAAGAAGGATGCAAGGAACGGCAACAAACCCGTCAAGACTGACAAAAAAACCGTCAAAGCTAACCAGACGGCTGTCAAAGCTGCCGCGAAGCCCGTCAAAGCTGGTAACAAGGCTGCCAAGGCTAACCAGACGGCTGTCAAAGCTGACACGAAGCCAATCAAGGGTAATAAGAAGTCCACCAAGGCTAACACGAAGCCCGTCAAAGCTGGGAAGAAGCCCATCAGGACTAACAAGAAGCCCCTCAAGGCTAACAAGAAGCCCGTGAAAGTTGGGAAGAAGCCCGTCAAGGCCAACAAGAAGCCCGTTAAAGCTGGGAAGAAGCCCATCAAGGCCAACAAGAAGCCCGTTAAAGCTGGGAAGAAGCCCATCAAGGCCAACAAGAAGCCCGCTAAAGCTGGGAAGAAGCCCGTTAAAGCTGGGAAGAAGCCCATCAAGGCCAACAAGGAGCCTATCAAGGCTAACAAGAAGCCCGTGAAGGTTGGAAAGAAGCCCGTCAAAGCTGGGAAGGAGACCACCAAGAAAACTTCAACGACTGAGAAGCCAACACCACGCAAGACGGCTGCATTGACAACTGCCCCTGTGACGACCAAAGCCTCTGTATCTACTACTTTGCCTCCGACCACCAAGGCCACCACTAAAAAGCCGACAAAAAAGACTACCAAGAAGCCAGTCGATAAGTCTTTGAAGATGCCCGTGAAGGCAGGGAAGGAATCCGTCAAGAAGTCTGTGAAGGCGGGCAAGAAGGTCTCCAAGTCTGGCAAGAAGTATGTGAAGTCAGCCAGTATTGCTAACAACAAGTCTCGCCGCAGCGGCGGCTACAGACCTCGTCGTTATGACAACAGACCGTCCAAAGCGGGCAAGAAGTCTGTGAAGGCGGGCAAGGAGCTCTCCAAGTCGGGCAAGAAGTCAGCTAACAACAAGACTCGCCGCAGCCGCGGCTACAGACCTCGTCGGTATGACAACAGACCGTCCAAAGCGGGCAAGAAGCTCTCCAAGTCTGGCAAGGAGTCTGCGAGGTCAGGTAACAAGCCTAAGCGCGACAGTAAAGTGAAACGTGGGGACAAGCCTCGCCGCAACATGCCTCGTCGGACTGCCTACAAACCTCGTCGCAATAAGCCTAGTCGTTCTGCCAAGAAGCCCAAGAAGGGTGGCAAGAGCGTGGGGCGCCAAGCGGACTCTCCCTTTGACGCGGCCAAGCTCGCCGCTGAAGTGGCGTCGGATGCTACCCCTTAAGCTGTTTATGTAGTGAATAATTCCAAATCGTTTGGTTGTTCGAGCTTGTTGTCGCCTCTGGATTGGCTACAATCGTTAAATTATAGCCAATCCACGACTAGAATAAGATTCCAGGACCTCGTATTTAAATATCAAGGGAATTGTATACGCATTATTCTCGTTTTAATTAAACATTTCGACAGAACCGACATAACACACATGTCGAGCCTTGTCGTGACAATCGCCGATGGCGGCAGCGGTGACGGCGGCACCTCGACGCCTTCGACTACGCCGGCGTCACGATCTTGCCAAGATGTGGCGAAGGAACTCGATGTAGATGTCTCCCAAGGTCTCAGCATCGCACAGATCAGCGACCGACAGAAGCAGTATGGGCGCAATGTCCTGGAGAACGACGAGCCGGAATCTCTTGTCATGAAGTTCCTCGATCAGTTCAAGAACCCACTCAATCTACTTCTCGTCGCATCTGGTGGCGTATCTGTCCTCATGGGTCATGTGGACGACGCCATTTCGATCGTCGTCGCACTCACCATTGTCGTCACGGTCGCGTTCGTCCAAGAGTACCGTAGCGAAAAGACGCTGGACGCTCTCAAGGAGCTTGTACCACCCCGCGCGCGGGCCGTTCGGGATGGACAAACGTGCGAGGTACAACAGTTCTTTCGCCATCTCCTTCGTCGACCTTCCTCGTCCTCCATGCATGACCCCTTTCTCGTCCGTCGTTCTCACCGATCCGTGACTCCATCATCCCGTTATTAGATCGACGCGGCAGACCTCGTTCCTGGGGACGTCGTGCTCTTGTCCACGGGGGATCGCATCCCCGCCGACGCGCGACTTGTCGAAGCCATCGACCTCGACGTCGACGAATCCAGCTTAACCGGGGAAACCCATGTGGTATGTGGCGACGGTATCCGGCATTTCTTTTTGTAAAAAAAAGTTTTATTCGTCTATTTTTTGTTTGTTCCCTTTACCATGATATCCCCATCGCATGACTCTGACACACGTTTGTAGATATATATATATATACAAACTATATATATATATATATTATATATATGTATATTTACATGACCCATCGCATCCTTGTATGATAGTCCTTTTAGCCTAAATTTTGGATTTTTGTGGTGAATATCGCCAAATCTATCGATCGATTATTCTTTGTACTGACATTTTGTATGTAAAAACGTGTGTCGTGATTGGTATATCACACACTAATTGTCGTCACACACACACTAATTCATATTTGTCTGTGATTTCCTGCAATGTGATTGCAGCCATTATTCTACTGCCGATGATTCTTTCTTCTGTCCATGTATTTGGTTTAGAATACACATAACATAACTGTTTGTGTTACAGGTGACCAAGCACACCAAGTCGATACATTCAGCGCACTTGCATCCGATTGCCGAGCGCAAAAACTTGGTGTACATGGGAACGCTGGTGCGCGGCGGCCGCGGCAAGGCCATCGTGTACAGCACTGGTCGCCACACCGAGTTTGGCCTGGTCTTTGAGGTCGTGGACAACGTCGAGGAGCGCAAGACGCCGCTGCAGGTGCGCATGGACGCGCTGGCCAATCAGCTGAGCGCCGTGTCGCTTGGGGTGATCGGGGTTATTGTGCTCGTGGGGGTGATCCAGGGCCAGCCCCTGTTTAAAATGCTGCAAATTGGCGTCAGTTTGGCCGTGGCTGCCATCCCCGAAGGCCTACCGATTTGCGTTACGGTTACGCTGGCATTGGGTACGGAAACGTGTTTGTGTCCATGGGTTTCTTGGCTATATATGACTGACGTCGCGCATTATGTATGGTGGGAATACATTCATTCATTCGGTATATACATACACTTTTCATCGTAGTATTCGCGTGGTTTGGTCTTGGATGGTGATACTAGAAAATTTGTGATTGGCTGAATATACTTGTTCAAGAGCCAATCAGATCCAGTCGAAATTGAAGCAGCCAATGGCGTCGTTTCGTGATTCAATTCCGTGGCGAGATTCTTCGATACGATGGGGTCTGGAAATTTGAACCGAATCCATCATATATATATATGAATTTGATGATGTGCATGTGGAGATTTGTTCAGATTTCATTACCTAATATATACATTTGTTCAACGTTACGCCTGTATATATATATGTATATATATATATATATATATATACAGGCGTAACGTTGAACAAATGTATATATATATATAAACATGATGCATAAATGGGGTCTATGGCACATTCTGTATAGTTGTTGTTCATATGGAAGAATTACCATCGTTTTTGACCAAATATTTGAAATCTACCGAATATATATGTCGTACCTTTGCCGTATGTCACGTAATATATATGGTTTTGTGTGCAGATTTACCAACTCCATCGATCGATACTTGTTTTGTGTATGTAAACATATGTCCAGTAGTGGGGTTGATCTCATCACACTCTATTTCGAGTGTTGATTGGAATTCATGTTTGTACTACCGTCTATTCTATTTCTGTACTACCGTGTTTGGCGTACGTTTTTGGAGTTACATTTGAAGAATATTTATTTAAATATTCGAATTGTATCAGTGATTCGAGATTGATTGTATTGAATTTTAGAATTATATTTCCATGTCGCTCAGGTTTCATCACAACATATAGTTTTACTTCAACATATAGTTTTACTTCAACTTTGGTTGACCTTTTGGGCTGATTCTTTGCCAACTCTATCGAATATCCATCCATCCTGTGTACTGACTTTTGTATGCAACCATCGTCCAGTGTCCCAGTCTAAGTATTCGATGTGTTTTGCATAGATATATCATTTGATTGGGTCGTTCATTCATGTGTGTTGGGTTTTGATTGGTCCACACAGTATTTGCCAAGTCGAATATGATCGACTTGGCAAAATATACCATAACATCAACGCTAACGACCACCCCAAACAACTGTAGGCGTCATGCGCATGGCCAAACGCCATGCGATTTTGAAAAAGCTGCCGGCCGTCGAAGCCTTGGGGTGCACCAACATCCTATGTGTGGACAAGACGGGCACACTCACAACCAACCAGATGGCCGTGGTCGAAGTGTTTCTGCCTGGCTTGGGGGCCACGCCCGTCGCCCTCGCGCCGTCGTCACCAATGTCGTCACCATCCCTCAAAGCCACGTTCAGTCCCATCTTTCTCAGCGGTGTGCTGTGCAGCAATGCTGAGATTGTGGACGGAGACATCGTCGGCCAAGCGACCGAAGGCGCGATCGTCCTCGCCGCCAGCCACGTACGTATGCAGCTACCGTAGCTCGTCTTTACGCTTGATGTATCTGGTCATTTATTACTTACTACTTCTCTCTCTCTCTCTCATCGTTACATAAAAATATATATATTATTATATATATGTCCTTATTTATGTAGAAATTGTCATTTATTACTTCGGTCACTTATTACTTACTACTTCTCTCTTTCTCTCTCTCATCGTTACATAAATATATATAACTATAGATAAGGCCTTGAATTTCGACCTTGAATTGCTACATAAATAATGACATATATATAACATAATACCATATATATGTAATAATACATATATATAACATAATAATATATATGTAATAATGACATATATATAACATAATAATATATATGTCATTATTTATGTAGCAATTCAAGGTCGAAATTCAAGGCCTTATCTATAGTTTATTATATAAATATCTATGTGTATTTAGTCATGTATATAGAAACACATGGAATATCTATCTCATCGAGTGCAATTGTTGTTTTTCCAAATCTTAACGATATCTCCCAAGACTGCTTGTGTTTGGTTCGTTGTTGGGCGTGGTGCAACCAACCTATACTTTTATCGCAGATATATATATATATCTTTAGAACGGCCTACACAATGGATTATTCCTGGTTACATATACATATATCTTTAGAAAGGGCTACACAATGTTGTTTATATTATGAACGCCATATCTCTCATCGAAAGACACTACTTATTCAACTAACTATTATATAATATTGTTGATTCGATCTTGTATTGTCCTTTTCACCGCAATTTGGGCACTTTATTGGAGAAATCGATATTCGAAGCACAATTGTATACAATGTATACTGTACGAAAATTGAATTGAAATAGACAAAGCCTTGTCATTGGTTGAAATGTATGATTGAAGCAATTTCATTGGCTAGTCGATTGTCTGCCGCTATTCGATGATTCAACTACTAATATTGTTGTTAGGTTGGCGTGGGCGACGCCACTTCGCTGCGGCACCAGTACCCCCGTGTGCACGAAATCCCATTCAATTCCGACGCCAAGTTCATGGCAGTGCAAGTGTCGACTCCGCTAGGAACGACCGAGTGGCACATCAAGGGGATGCTCGAGGCCGTGCTGCCCCGATGTGCCACGTACCAGGACGCATCCTTCCACAAACATCCCCTGCTGGTTCCGGACGCCGACTTGATCGCGCAGACGGCGCGGACGATGGCGCGGCGGGGGCTGCGCATCCTGGCTCTGGCCACGGGGTCGACATCCGTCGAGTCCAACATGATCTTTCTTGGGCTCGTGGGCATCTCCGACCCGCCTCGCCCGGGGGTGCTGCAAACGATCCACCAGTTGGACGCATGTGGCGTGACCACTGTCATGCTCACGGGCGACGCACTGGACACGGCGAGCGCGATCGCGGCCCAAGTGGGAATCCTCGTCGACCCCATCTCATCGTCAGACGACGTCACAGAATCGGCGTTGTTGTTGTTTGGTGGTCGTGGTACTGGCGTGTGCTCGGGGCAGGAATTGGATGCGATGACCGACGCCCAAATCTGCGACAAGGTGCTCACCACACGCGTGTTTTACCGCACGTGCCCCACGCACAAGCTCAAGATCGTGCGCGCGTTTCAAGCGCACGGGTCGCAAGTCGCCATGACTGGTACACATACCTGTGACAACGTGCTCTTTGGATTCGATATGTGACAACGTGCTCTTTGGATTCGATATATTGGGCACTGGTACATACCTGTGACAACGTGCTCTTTGGATTCAATATATTGCTGGGGTTGATACTATCTTCTTTTCTGGGATGACTCTTTGTGTGGTATTATTGTCCGTTTGTTTACCCAAAAATTTGGCCTTTTTTTCGTGCTAAATTGCCGAATAATCTATCAAGAATCGATTCGTCTTTGTTCTGAATTTGGTGTGTTCTGTGACAACGTTGGTTGTTTCACACTAATTGAAGTTACACACGAATTTGACTTTGTGGATGGTTGGGTTGCTGCAATCTGATTGGCTCAATTCTTCTATCCATTCTGTGGTTGTGTCGATTCATTCATGTCAGTGAATCGAATAAATACAGTACAATAACATGTATATGCGATCGATGGTGTACTAGTTAGTATATGCTTGATGCGTGTCATGTCATCTTAGGAGACGGCGTAAACGATGCGCCGGCGCTCAAAGCCGCCGACATTGGCATCGCCATGGGCACCACGGGCACGGACGTGTCCAAGGAAGCCTCCGACATGATTTTACTCGACGACAACTTGACCACCATCCTGCACGCGATGGCCGAAGCCAAGGGCATCTACCACAACATCACGCGCTTTTTGCGATTTCAACTCAGTACGTCTGTGGCGGCGTTGAGTCTGGTGGCGCTATCGACGCTGTTCGACCTGCCGAATCCTCTCAATGCGATGCAGATCTTGTGGATCAACATCATCATGGATGGCCCGCCGGCGCAGTCGCTGGGCGTTGAGCCCGTGGACGCCGACGTGATGCGCGAAGGGCCCCGCGCTGCCGACGTCCCAATCATCACGCGGGACATGCTCAAGCGCGTCGTCGTGTCGGCCTTGTTGATTGTATCGGGCACTCTGTTTGTGTTTGTGAACGAACTCGACGACGACTGGCAAGTCACCAAGCGCGACCGCACCATGTCGTTTACGACATTTGTGCTGTTTGACATGTTTAACGCGCTGAGCTGCCGCCACGAATCCAAATCGATTGTCTTCTCGGTGGGGGTAGGGTCCAATAAAGCGTTTTGTGTGGCTGTGGGCGCGTCGGTGGTGGGCCAGCTCATGGTCATCTACGTGCCGTTTCTTCAAGCGACGTTTCAAACAGAAGCGTTGAGTATGGCAGACTTGGCGTATATGACGGCGATTGCGTCCAGTGTGTTTATCGTCGACGAAGTCCGCAAATGGTGGGAAAAGCAGCAGTATTCCGTCATACTTGGGCGATGGACGACGACGAAGACAGGCGGCGGCGGCCAACGAAAGAAGAAGCACTCCAAGGTCTGCGACGACGTTGAGACAGTGTAGTAGAGGCCACCAAACGAGTACAGTACAGTAGTACTAGTAGTAGTACTATATACGAGGAGCTACTACGTAGTAGTAGTAGTACTATATAACCCCACGAAAAAGAGCAAGAATAATTCGACAGTATATATATATATATACTCGACTATTGGTTCTGTACAGTGTACTTGTACTGTCGTAACGTTACTATAGTACTACGTAGTAACGAGATTGGATTTCGAGACCCCGTTCACAATCGAATCGCCCCCATTGGTCAATCTGAAATTACTTGTCGTTGATTGGCTACTGGAAAGACATGAGCGGAGTTTGATTATAAAGACTCCAAATGTGCTGATTGGGCTATGTATATAAATAACTACTGTACATAATATTGATGTTGTGAAAGCTATGGTGAAATATCTGGCATATATAGATAGGTACTGTATCCCAGAGAGGTCACGTAAGTACCCGAACGAGCTTCAGGTACCGCTTCCCACGGCACTGCAGTTGACAGGACACATCGGAACAAGCCCCCCTCTTGCATGTCGAAATCATAGCTCCACCATCGAACCCTCCAACGACTACGTACAGTAGTAACCTTAACAATAATAATATTATCCTACATCCCATCGCAAATCAACACATCCGATTGCAATGAAGGCACGACACCATCCATTCAAATAGTTACCAATCTCGCCTTGAACATTGTCCTTCTTTTCGCACACATCGAACTAATCATGTTGCCCTCCATGGTATTGTTCGGTTACATGCAGTAGCTAGCTCCTAGTTCCTCTACACTACATGTATGTCGGGGTTCTGCATAATATATATGAGGTGTGTTCTTCTTTACTGTTTATTAGTTGCCCTCATGCGCGTTGCAGGTACGTACAGTATCCCCGTAGTAGGTGCAGGGGTGACGGCGGTGGGTTGAGGCTTCATTCATAGTGAGGTTGGATTCAGAGGTCACGTTTGATAGGTTCAGGGCGACGGGGATGGGCCAGTGCGACCACCCAACATGATCAACTTCAATCGTCCCAAAACTCAAGGCAACAATTCTCCTGGTATATTCGGCGTAAAATAAACTTCCACCAAATCCTATGATGTTACTATTAATTAATAGTAACGTTACCGAATTAATTGCACGTACGGTTGACACACGTTAAGTACGGACAAGACGAACGCTGTCGATTGCGTGAGATTAGTGAATGTCTCGGCCAAATCTTCGTGCCACAGTGTCGACATTGGCCAAGTGAGCATCAACGATGGGGCTAACAACGCGTAGAACGCGAGTTGGCCCCATAGCTCCTCCCAGCTCACCAGGCGAACATGTAGCTTGATCAGAAGCCATTCCTCCTCATCACGTTGTACCGTCAATGCAAAGCAGTCCCCACGGGTTGATTGGTGATCGATTTTCTGGCCAATTCTGTGAAAGGCTGCAGGGATATGGTTTGTAATTACGTTTTAAGCCTTTCTCGTCAAATTTTCAGACGCGACTGAACGGTTCTCAAACTATCTGAACATTTCCTATACTGTAGTTTTTGCCATGTTTGTTCTGGGCTCGCATAGACCCTTCCAGCTGGGGGGGGATATGGTAACAACGTTAGGGACTTTGTGCAAAGTATCGTGGATTCCCATCGGAAACCAATGTAGTGCTGTAGCGGAAGGCAACATCGAAACGTGGTCGTGTGGCTGTAAACATATTGCTAATAATATACTCACAACTTATAGATGGACGTCGACCGACCTCCATTTTGCCATTCACAGTGAGTACGGAGTCCACTTGATGGGAAGTCTGACATTCATTCTTTCCGTCTACTAGTGGTATTAATAGTACCAGTATTCTTGTCGGACGCGCTGACCACCTCTGACTGTTTGCACTACAAATATCGCCACGGAGCTTGGGCCCAGCCTACTGGAAGTATAACACGAAACAGTTTTAATCGGAAGTTTGGATACGAAACGTCATAGTGCAGATTTACTGTTAGTTACCTTCAAGTTTAGCAAGTGAATTGGTTTATACAGTGCGAACGACGTGCATTTCTAACCTTTCAAACGATCGATTGATCACGTTTTGGGGTTTCATGGAATTTTGATTTTCACTGTCATAAACCAATTCCAAACAAAGTTCCCCATGGAACGGTGCAATTGATAGTGTACATACTAGTAAGTACTACGTAGGAGTATTTTATCATGACAACATGAATGTAAGCACAAAGGTCGCTCGATGCTGATGATAATAACAACTGACTGAGAATGATATTTTCCTTGTGCTTTTACTATTAGTACAGTATAGGGGAAACGATAACGTTACTTACTATAGTACTACTAGTATACTAGTACTATAGTACTTCGAATAAGTATTGATTACAGTTAATTTCACACGCAGGTAATTTTTTATCCAATGTGGAGGAACAATAGGTTCAGCACACCTTAACAACCGATCGGTACTCACGAAGTGATACGCCAGTACGTGGTGGTCGAGCCATTCATAATTCAATTACTAGTACACCATACGAAAACGAACTATGGTGTCCATCAGCAAAACTCTCATAGGATTGCTTATACTTGCTTCGGCGCATGTAGCCACTCCCCAACGACCAACCACCACTCCACCAAGAACACCTGCACCTACTCCGGCCCCAACACCTCGACCAACTCCTGCGCCTACTCCAGCGCCAACACAGCCACCTACTCCTGGTACTACTCCACCAAGGACACCTGCACCTACTTCGGCACCAACTCCTGTACCAACACCTGCACCAACTCCTCCAAGGACACCTGCACCTACTTCGGCACCAACTCCTGTACCAACACCTGCACCAACTCCTCCAAGGACTCCTGCACCTACTTCGGCACCAACCCCTTTGCCAACACCTGCACCAACACCTGCAACAACTTCGCCCCTAACCCCAGTACCAACACCAGCGCCTACTCCTTCGCCAACTTCACCAACAACCCCTTCCCCTACTCCTGCACAAACGCCAGCTCCCACTCCAGAGCCAACACCAGCTCCCACTCCCGAGCCGACTCCAGCTCCCACTCCTGAGCCAACTCCAACTCCTACCCCTCAACCTACCCCTGCACCTACGCCAGCTCCCACTCCCGAACCGACTCCCGCTCCTACCCCTGAACCCACCCCAGCACCTACGCCAACTCCTACCCCTGCACCTACCCCTGCACCTACGCCATCTCCCACTCCTGAGCCGACTCCCGCTCCTACCCCTGAATCCACCCCAGCACCTACGCCAGCTCCTACCCCTGCACCTACGCCATCTCCCACTCCTGAGTCGACTCCCGCTCCTACCCCTGAACCTACCCCTGCACCAACACCAGCTCCCACTCCCGAGCCAACGCCAGCTCCCACTCCTGAGCCAACTCCCGCTCCTACCCCTGAACCTACCCC